TTATATCTTATATCAAAGGACTTTATAATGTTTCCAACCATTGTTTGGAACAATTACACTATTATCATTATATCTTATATCAAAGGACTTTATAATGTTTCCAACCATTGTTTGGAACAATTACACTATTATCATTATATCTTATATCAAAGGACTTTATAATGTTTCCAAACATTGTTTGGAACAATTACACTATTATCATTATGTCTTACATCCAAGGACTTTATAATGTTTCCAACCATTGTTTGGAACAATTACACTATTATCATTATATCTTATATCCAAGGACTTTATAATGTTCCCAACCATTGTTTGGAACAATTACACTATTATCGTTATATCGTATATCAAAGGATTTTATAATGATTTAAACCATTGTTTGGAACAATTACACTATTATCATTATATCCTATACCAAATGACTTTATAATTTTTCCAAACATTGTTTGGAACAATTACACTATTATAATTATATCTTATATCAAATGATTTTATAATGTTTCCAAACATTGTTTGGAACAATTACACTATTATCATTATATCTTATATCAAAGGATTTTATAATGTTTCCAACCATTGTTTGGAACAATTAAACTATTATCATTATATCATATATCAAAGGACTTTATAATGTCTCCAACCATTGTTTGGAATAATTACACTATTATCATTATATCTTATATCAAATGACTTTATAATGTTTCCAACCAAAGCTTGGAATAATTACACTATTATCATTATATCGTATATCCAACCAGGAACAATTACACTATTATCATTATATCGTATATCCAAGGACATTATAATGTTTCCAAACATTGTTTGGAACAATTACACTATTATTATTATAACTTATATCAAAGGACATTATAATGTTTCCAACCATTGTTTGGAAAAATTACACTATTATAATTATATCTTATATCAAAGGACGCTATGATGTTTCCAAACATTGTTTGGAACAATTACACTATTATCATTATATTGTATATCAAAGGACTTTATAATGTTTCCAACCATTGTTTGGAACAATTACACTATTATCATTATATCTTATATCCAAGGACTTTATAATGTTTCCAACCATTGTTTGGAACAATTACACTATAATAATTATATCTTATATCCAAGGACTTTATAATGTTTTCAAAAATTCCCTGGAAAAATTACACTATTATCATTATATCTTATATAAAAGGACTTTATAATGTTTTCAAACATTGTTTGGAAGGATTACACTATTATCATTATATCTTATATCCAAGGACATTATAATGTTTCCAAACATTGTTTGGAACAATTACACAATTATCATTATATCTTATATCAAAGGACTTTATGATGTTTCCAACCATTGTTTGGAACAATTACACTATTATCATTATATCTTATATCCAAGGACTTTATAATGTTTCCAACCATTGTTTGGAACAATACAATTGCACTGTCATTATCAGCATGTATTATGATGATATAAAAACCTGGACTTTGTGCAATCAAGAGTGCAATAAGATAATTTTTTTTTAAAGAAGCATTCAGAATTAATTTGGGCATTATGTGAACCGGCCTTGAATTGTGGCGTCAGTGTTCCAGAATTAGCTAAGAAACATAATTTGGCCTTCATCAAAACAAGTGTAGGCTAGTGTTGTATTTTTTCCATAAGCTGTACGGAATGTGCATACACGAATCTGAAAAACAAAATAATCTCCATAGATTTCCATAACATAGTTCATAACGCCGAGAACTTTTGTATAATAATTTCCAAGTATTGTCTTCGAGTTTCCCTTTAAATCGTCTTTGTTGAGCTGACACGAAACTCAACTTTATTCGGATTCAGATAACTGAATTTTACTCGTGTTTCCGTGACGAAGCTAGAAATCTTAAGCATTGTGGACACCCGCGTCGTGACTACTAGGCTCTCTATGGACAATGAAACCAGCTCAAAGATTATAATAAATCTTATCTACACTTGGAGATAAGCTTGTTAATGTCAGCCCGAAGAAAACACCGTCTGAGACAGGGTTGTTTATAACAATACATTGATATCAGAAAAGAAGAAAAATGCACGATAAAAGTAACTAGACGTGCGTGATATTTGAATACTACACGATTATATTAAGCTGCTCGGAAAGTAATTACGTTTGATCAGAAAGCAAATAAAAACCAAAAAAAAAAAAAACCAAAAAAAAAAAAAACAAGTATACATTATTTATATGAATGTTATTTATCAAATAAGGTAATCAATTCCTTTTCAAAAACGGTAAGGCTCATTTCCGATTCAACGTTAAAAGAAATCTTTTTTGTTTCGAAAACTGTTTGAATTGTCATGAAATAAGATTTTCTTCGTATTTTCGCAGTCCAGAGGTAGTCGTTAACCTTGCGTATCACATTCGGTATACAGAGGTAGGCCCACAACACGAAAGTAATGTGACCCTATGTCGAATTTAATGTATGTTTATTTGCCGTACCGTAGAAAAAATTCTCATACCCACCCGCCACTCCCGGATTTTGGGGTCGCTTTTGGTGACGAGCAGTCAACCTAGTCCTTATCCCGAAGGAGATATACTGCCTGGGAGATAGACTCCGGGTGGGTTGATCCGATATAATTAGCAGAAGAACGAACTCCTCTGCCGGTCAGAATACACAACTCGTGTATCATATTCGATATCTACTTGCGGCCCAACGCAGGCAGGATGCGACACAAGATCAATTTAATGTGGGGAGCCCGAACGCGTGCACCCGGGCTAGGTCCAAAAATAGCCCAGGCGCCACAACTCTTGGTTGTACTGGCATCGGTATTATTATCTAGCCCCCTCCCTTCTCTAGCGCAATGGGGGAGATACTGCCGCGGACGGCATGCTCCCCTCGAATTGGCACCTCTCAATTCTTTTTGGATGCGCTCTGTCCGAAGATAGAGAAAAAACTGAGAGATGATAGACGAGATACGATACACGAATCTGACTTGCAAGATTCGCGGATTATTTCTGTCCCTCCCCTTACCGCTTGGGCACTTATATACTTTGTATCCCATAGCTATAATACTTAGACTGTCATATAAATATCACTAGAAATTCAACTTCTCCTTGTATTTTTAAATATTCTAGTAAGCTAAACAACGGAAACTCTTTCAGTGATATAGCTAATGAGAAAGATGTGAAAGTACACCCCCCTCCGAACGATATTATCATTTGGGGGGGTGTTTTGCAGAGTGTACACTTCCAGTTTCCTACTGGAGAATGACATCGTTTTTTTTTTCCTTTTTTTTTTTTCAATTACGGAAGCAGGACACTTTCGGGAGTAAGGGTTACTTTACTCCTGAAAGTGTTGCCAATAAACATCTCCTTCACGTTCGAGTAGTTGGTAATGAAATGACATGTCTCCTATTCCGGCAGACGCAAAGCAAAGAATTCTTTGGAGAGCTTATTGGATACGTCGCAATCGCCATTATTAACCTATTAAATGACAACTGATTTATTGGAGCCTACACTGAATACGTTTTCAATACGTAGATTTTTACCAATGCTCTTATAGTAGTTCTACCCTGACGCAATTTACACATGGTGAATATATTGCGTTTTAATGGTATAATGCTAAAGTTTTTAATTATTGGTCACCGGAAAAGCATTGAGCAGAGAAGGTTGACCTAACTGATCAAATACAGGGTGCAGCAGAAATATCCCGACATATACCTCCCAGAAATACCTCCCATATAATGTTAAGACATTTGTGGCAATGGTGTTTTAATCGAGTTAATGACTTACCATTATGGAGGAGGTATTTCTGGCGGGTATAGATGGGTGTTATTAATTTTCGCACCCAGTACAATCAATTTCCATCTACAGCCGGACGGAAATGGATAAAAAATTTGGAATAAGTTGAACATATTTCTTCCGTCAACGAACTTTTTAAAACATTGTTAATAGGGACGGAAAAGCCAAAGGCAGTCTGAAAATCTATTTTTGAAGCTTATCCAGATCTTTCTATATGACATTTTCCTTATGTGCGTCATGAGCTAGGAGTCAGCTTCTCTACATTGAAGTAAAAAGGACTCTCATAACTAAAAATCAAGAAGCGACAGTTCAAATTTCTAGGACACATAATGAAGAAAGAGGGAAAATTTGATATGCACACGTCAGATTGGTGGCAGGAGAGGCAAACAACACATAACCTGCCTAGCGAGCTTGTATAAAAGAACAGGCTTTAATAAAAAGACAAAAATTATTAACAGCTACAGAGGACCGGAAATTGCGCAGAACCATGATCGCCAACTTCCTGAAGATTGTTTAGAACAAAAAGAATCAACATCTGTAATCATGTCATGTCTCTTGTTATAGGAGTCGGATAGATGAGATGATAAACTAGTTAACCTTAGAACACTAACCATGGGTATATAGTACCCAGCGCAAATTTTCCTATTTTTAATTACAATTTTCAGTACGTGATTTTCTTACCTAAATAATGTTTTTCAGTTCCTATTAATGTTAACTCAAAGTACAAAGTTAGAAGTGCCTGCATGTAAAATATTTCAAATAAAGATTTATAACTAATATTTTTTTTGGATATTTTCAAAATCGGGTATAATATACCCATGGTTAGTAGTAGGGTAACTTTAATTGTTGGTTAGTATTTAAGAGTTAAAGACGATGATTTCTGCTATTTAATCCCAGTTCTAACATTGTTCCATAAATCTTAGCGGTGAAATATATAATGACCTTACGAACACATTGATAGAAGCGACGTTGTTTGGCACACGGGTCTCTTCTCTGTATAACCTTTTTTTAAAAACAATGTTTCCACCGAAATATTCTCAGGTCATCTTCAGAGAGTGAAAAAGCAGAAACAAATTTTTGGATTGTTAGAATTTTTTTGAGAAAATAAATTTCTGATACATGTCTTAACATTTAACCCATAGCTGGGATAAGAATATGTGGATTCATACCGTTTTCAAGGCACGTAAGCGAATATAAAGAACCTGACTGGAATTCAAACTCGGCTCTCCGATTACAGCACCTGGTGTTCCCGAGCGGTCGCCCATCTAAGTACTGACTAGGTTCGCCGTTTCTTAACTTCGGTGATCAGATGAGAACCGTTGCTTCAACGTCATATGGCTGTAAGCCGTTGGTTATATGCTTTTTTCTTCTATCCCTCATGACTTCAATATATCTTGTTAGTGTCAGATTTTCCAAGTCCTCATTCTTCACAATATGCCTTGGAAATTTCAACTCTTTTTGATGTTATGTATAAGTGTCCTTTTTATGTCCGTTTCCCTCCAACCCTTGCCGTACCCCACTTGTCCTTGGCATTCTCAGCAGTAGGACGATATTTGTTGCGTCAAGTCCTTTCTTCATCTCTGAGAAGAGTGCTCATCATTCATTGCCATATAGGCGGACTGATATTACGTAACAGTGCAGTACTACTTTCTTACGAAATTTTACTGTCTTAATACTGTCATTAGCGCTTGGAATGCATTATTCACTATCACAATACTTCTTCTGTTAAAACATTTCCCAGATATTTGCATTGTTGTACTTGCTTCATTTTGGCATCTCTAATTTATAATTTGCATGTTGGGCGTTTTCCTTTTGCCGACAACCATTTTACTATTGATGCTTAGTCCTTTCTTCTAGCTTTCCTTTTGTAGATGTTTCTTGTAGTTTCTTTTTTGTGTTCGCGATCAGCTGAAAAGCATATTTGTTTCTCCTCAGTATCCCACTTACACATTTATAAATCTACCATTCTTCCGTGCATTAAATACTGTTTCCATATCTGGCCAGGTGCACCTGATCTATCTCTTGTGCTCCTTCAAAAAATCCAAAGAAGGATCTGTAATATAATTGACTCCTGATCATACATATCGACTTTTCTATGGCAACTGTTTTGACGAGGTCTTTTTAACTTTGTGGCTCGAATACATGAATTTAAACGTTCTACTAGATTGGCAATTAGGTCTCGCCGTTTTACTGTTGATCTAAATAAATAAAACCGCCATTTCTAATCTAAGTTTCTTTTCTCGCATTTCTCACTTGGAAAATTCCCTGATGATTTCTTACTTCCCTGATAACTACAATCTTCAAAAATTGAAATGCATCACCAATCGCTATCTTCTGTCTTCTTGAACTCTCTTCCTGTTTTGCCCTTTCCCCAATCCTTCTCTTTAAAGTCTTCTAATTCTCTTTCGCTCTGTGTAAACCCGGGCGTTCTAGTTGTAATATTGCTCTGCTTGGTTGTGGGGGGTAGAAAAAATGGTGATTCAAAATAAAAACCTGCTGGATGTGAACAAAAGGATGAAGATATCTCAGCATCCAAAGGTTAACGATATGTTAATGGCTCTCCCGAATGTCACAGACATATAGTTTATATTAACAGCAAAACACGAGATTTCAATCTCCAGTTGGTTGATTTGCATTTTACGGCTTATCAACCCTTTATGGGTTATTTAAATCCGAAACATATTTTTCGGTTGTAATATATTTTGCGAATGAATAATGCATTCTTTTGAGAACAACAAGAATTTTTTACCAGTTAAAGGTCCTAGAATTTAACTAATGGCTAGGTGGGGAGATGGATTAATACGTTACCGAAACTTAGTTGCGCATAAGTGAATGTAAAGACCTCGACTGGAATCCGAACTCGGCTTTCCGATATCTCATTCGTAGACGCATTCTATCACACCACCCGCGCATCCATTTCAATATACAAACAATATTGCATATGTCTAGGACTATTACTAGTGTTTCAAAAAAAGAGTTTGCATCTGGCGAAAGAACAGGTTTCATCTCTACATTCTATATAAAGATATCAACACCTAAATGTTATTTTGGTTATCCCCACATAGCTTCGCCAGTTTCCATAAGATGTCGTCAGAGGGCGCTGTCTAGCTACTATAAAAACGGGACACTTCTTCTTTCTTTCGTTGACAACGCCAACATCCGTATGCTTAGGGATATCTTTCCGCTTTGTAACTGAACTCTTTAACATGCACACTAAAGTGTATCGCCCACATAATTCCTAACTTTTAATGGCTTCCTGCTTTTTCTTGCACACTCGTGTATTTTTCTTTCTGTTCTTAGTTTTATAAAAACCAAAATATAAACTATAGCCATGTTGAAATCCATTCCATTATCATACACGAGTCATATCCATGTATAAAATATTGTTGCCACTGCTTTTAGTCTATGACTGATCGATTTATTTTATTTCTACAGCTTATCAAAATCTTATAAGATATATTGTATTATATATATAAGTCCATATATCTATATGAATAAATGCAAAATTGGAGTCCAATTCTCACACAAATTCTGAGGTTAAAAAAAGTCCCAACTCTACATTACAGTAGTAATTAACTCCTTCCCTCCAACTGGACGAGATGTGACACAAGGTCATTTCTAGGTGGGGACCCGAGCGCGTACGCCCGGGACAAGGACAAAAATTGACCTCAGTTCCCGCAATCATCCCTACTTCTTTTGCAATGCGAGGGCGCGGCATCGGGCAGCTGTTCCCCAGGGTTGGGCACTCCTCAGTACAATTTTCTCAGTTGCCCCTCTGTCCTTTGACAGAGGAAGCCCTGAGCGCACTCTGCCCAAAGACAGAGACGCAACTGAGAGATGATAAGCCTGCGCTAGAAATCCCTCAAAGGGGGAGTTTTTACGCTTTACAGTAACTACGCAGCAGTAACTCCTTCCCGCCACTTGGACGAGATGTGACACAAGGTCTTTTTTAGGTGGGGACCCAGACGCGTACTCCCGGGACAAAGGACAGAAATTGCCTTCAGCCCCCACAACCGTCGGTTGCGTTCGCCTCGGTGCGAACACCGATCCTTCCCTATTGTGCATTGGGAGGGCGCGGCCTCGGGCAGCTGTTCCCCAGGGCTGGGTACCTCTCGGTATAATTTCCTCAGTTGTCCCTCTGTCATTTGACATAGAAGCCCTTGAGCCCACTCCCCCCAAAGACAGAGACGCATCTTTTGAGAGATAATAACCCTGCGTGAGAAATCCCTCCAAGGAGCAGTTTTTACGCTTTACAATAATCTACGCTCTAAAAGCTCACTATCTGACTTATATTATCTGAGTCTTGACGATATCACTGCTCAGGCTTAACTAATTTGCATATTGATAAAAAAAACCATATTTCATTAATTAACTGCCCTTCATTACTGTTCTTTTATTCGAGGATTGTTTTAATTTTCATATCGAAAATAGTTCTGTTTAGGAATATTGTTTTATATAGTGCAGAAAAGTGTTCGAAATTTGCATTTTACTTGGCCTTCAATAAGTTGGCATCTATTTGTAAAACTCTCCTTGACTATAACAAGCCTATGTACACAACCAACCAATTAATTTCTTTTGTATTTACAGTTATATTCTTTGAACGGATATATTAAACGTCCACAACCACTTCAAAATTTCATAAGTAGTGAACATTAATCCCATAGAAAAACAACTAATTTCCCTAGAAAAATTACCAGATATGCATACGAAGCCTACTAGTAATGTAATTACACACACACACACACACACACACACACACACACACACACACATATATATATATATATATATATATATATATATATATTAAAATATATTACTTTTTATAAAATATATTATACAATAATTTTTTCCTAGAGGATCGACTGATTTTATTTCTATAGCTTAAAAAGTTATTTAAAGCCCTAAAATACACTATTTACATTATTCGGACTATTGGACTCATCTTTGTCGCCATATTTATCATCTTAGAAATATAGACAGAACCCCAAAATAATTTTAGATTGTAAGAATTCTTCTTTTTTTTTTGAGATAATAACATTTTAATGATAAAAGTTTCAGTAATTAATCCATAGCTAAAGAAGAAGTGGATTCATACCTTTTCCAAAGGTATTTGCGTGTAAGTGAATATAGCAATCTCACCTGGAATTGGAACTCGGTATATCTACTAACAATTTCAAGCTATTCTCCATTACACCACCCGCACATTCAAGCTTATTGCACCTGATATTCCCAAACTGTCAGCCATGTTGGTACTGACCAGAATCGACGTTGCTTAAATTCAGTGATCGTACAAGAAGCGGTGTTTCAATCAGAGATGGCCGTAAGTCGTTGAAACTAGAGAATGTTGCTCGTCAGATGATTTTTCTATGGAAATAGTAATAGAGTAGCGATAGGCCTGGAACTTTGCATCTGTAAGTGAGGGGTGGATGATTCATCGCATACAATACCGCATAATAGTTTTTCGAACTCTGTTAAGACTGAAAAGAGAGAAAGGCAACCGTTGTCTCAACGTGATATGTCCGTTACTAGTCTAAATAATAGTAGTACTGCAACAGTTAAAAGAATAAGAAGAGAAATTCACGTATCTACCATTTTTCGGATGCTCAAATCTCTTCTTTCTCTAGATATAAACTTATGGTTTATAGCTTTGAGAAGACACATTAAAATATTCAGAATTGTTCGGATGTTCAGCTCTCATCTTTTTATAGATATACACCCTTTGGCTATCAGCTTGTGAGAATTCATGAACAATGGATCATTAAAATTAAAAATAGAAATAAAATAGAAAAAAATAGAAATAATGACTATGTTATGGAGGGATATGGCACAGGCCTGTTTTTATTTGAAGCGATTCCAATCACGAAAGCTCGGGCGAAATTTCCCCTTAGACTCCGCATGCACCGGGTCGGGTTTGTCTATCTGCCCAGACGAGACTCTGCCAGTAGGCATAGGTTCCTTTCTGGGTTCCTCTCTGTGCGAAGGCAGAGAGTTCGACAAGTATGTCGCGAGCCTGGCGGCGAATTACCTTACTGTAACTGTTTTCATGAATTTCTAAGCTTAGCTTAGATGTGGCACACGGATGAAAGTGTGGAGCATCCAGTGAGGATCGAAATTACTACTCAGTCGCAGTTGATCTAGCGAGACTAGCTTGCTAATCATTACACCAATTCGAAATGCTCTGGCTATGTTAAAGACTCTTAGCAAAGTTAAAGACAAAGTGTTTATATTCATACAAACATAGATCATCCAATGACTCATAGTTGGGTGCTTTAATGTTCGATGCATTAAAGACTAAGGAAGTGGTACGCAAATATTTATACAGCTGTTTTAATTCAGTCCG